GGTGTCCCTCAGGGCTCTGTGCTTGGTCCTATCCTCTTCATCATCTACCTACTCCCCCGTGGTTCCATCATCCGTCGTCATGGTCTCCATTTCCACTGCTACGCTGATGACATCCAAATCTACATTTCCACAAAATCCATCACCCCGGCCACCCGCTCTACCCTCACCAACTGTCTGACTGAACTCCAATCATGGCTGCAGGCCAACTTCCTCAAACTCAACTGTGACAAATCTGAAATAATATTCATCGGCCCAAAATCCTTCTCTACAGCAACACAAAACTTCACCCTCAGCATTGACAACACCACCCTCTCTCCCTCCCCATTAATCCGCAACCTTGGTATCATCTTAGACAATAACCTCTCATTTGAACATCACATCAGCCGCCTCGCCCAAACTGCCTTCTTTCACCTTAGAAATATTGCCCGTCTCCGTCCATCACTCTCCTTCTCTGCCGCTGAAACTCTCATCCATGCTTTCATCACCTCAAGACTGGACTACTGCAACAGCATCCTCTACGGCTCATCATCCAAAGTCCTCAACAAACTTCAGTACATCCAAAACTCTGCTGCCCGCCTCCTCACCCACACCAGCGTCCGTGAACATATAACCCCTGTCCTGCAAAACCTACACTGGCTCCCTGTCCCGTACAGAATCAGTTTCAAGATCCTCCTCCTCACCCACAAAGCCCTCCACAGCCAGGCCCCCTCCTACCTCACGGACATGCTCCACCACCACACTCCCTCCCGCAACCTTCGATCATCCGACAAAAACCTCCTCTCTCCTCCACACAGGACCAAGCACAGAACCTGGGGCGACAGAGCCTTCTCCATAGCCGCCCCCTCCCTCTGGAACACCCTCCCTATACACATCAGTGACTGTCCAAATCCATCCACCTTCAAATCACTCCTCAAAACCCACCTTTTCAAATCCTCTTTTAACCTTTAACATTAGCTTTTCGTTCTCGGTTCCTCATGTGCCGTCCTTTTCTTTGTTCTGCACTATGCTTTTGCACCTTGTTGTTTTATATTATCCTTGTCTTCTGTTTATCTCTTTGCACTTACGTGTATGTACTTCTTTTCTTTGGTTTTAAATGTAAAGCGTCTTTGAGAGCTGTAAAAGCGCTGTATAAATGAAATGTATTATTATATTATTCTTATTTTTAAGTAAGAATTAGTGGATTTTATTTATCAGGCTAATTCATCCATGTAGAGCTTTACAGTCATGTCTTATATCAGTGTGAAGAGTTTTATGTCCCGATGTAACATTTTATATTTAAAATAAAAAATACTACACATTCATACTGAACAATATAGAAATACAACTGAGCTATAAAGCCACACTAAAGTAAATCAATAAATAAAACATTTGACGGAGAGGTCAGAGGTCGTTTCCTGTTTCCTGTGTGTCACATTTATATCGGTCCGTCGAACAACAACAACAACACATGTGAGTGAAGCTGCTGAAGAGTCGCGATGTTTTCTGGTTTAAAAGATAAAGTTGGGGACGTTTTGTTACCGGGAGATGAGTTCTCCTTCGAGACCGACGACGTCATCTCTCTAACGGATCACGCTAAACCGGAGAAGGTGGTGTGCGGCCCGGGTCTGAGGCGGAGCGGTGACCGGCTGGTGGTGTCTAAAAGCGGGGTCCTCCGACACAAACAGCCCAACATGTTCTGGATCGATTCACAACAGAGGAGGGTGAGATTTAACACACACGATGTTCACTGGAAGTAGTTTATCTTTAACATTAACCTCAAGTGTCTGTTTACTGGGGAATCTGTATTTAACTGTAGGTTCTACAACACGCAGAACTCCATTTAAAAAATTTGTAATTTAAGGTTTTTCTTGTCACCACACGGTCCAGCCTCACATGGCAGGACTTTTAGAATGAATTTTAATCATTATGGTACAGTAGTGATTACGGCTAAAAAATAATGCCATCAAGAGATGTATTGTCACACTAAAGTTAAACTTTATCATTAAGTTCCGCTGTTAATCCTCTCTCCGCCCGCTGAAGCCCGCCGCTCTTCACGGCAGCAAGCAGCGGGAATACTTTCTGAAAAGTTCGAAATACTTTCACCACTCGGTGAATCAGTTGTACCCCGAATTACTCAGAAGACCAAACTCATTTATTAGAGCTATTAACATTTGTTCTAAAAGTCAAGTGGTTTGAACCAACATTGGTTGAATTGTAAATTGCCTCATATTTGAATGGAGTTCAGCTTTCCCAGTAAAATGCTGTGGTAGAGCTAAATCTAAAAACTGAAGAGGTGTAAAGACTAAAGTGGACATTTTTGAGGATAGGTGTTGGAGCAGTGCATGCTGGGAGTTGAGTCTGTTCCTCTGTCCACAGTATGTCCCAGCTAAAGGAGAAACAGTCATCGGCATCGTGACGGCAAAATCAGGAGATGTCTTCAAGGTGGACTTTGGAGGCAGTGAGCAGGCGTCTCTGTCCTACCTGGCGTTTGAGGGAGCCACCAAGAGGAACCGACCCAACGTCCAGGTGAGACACTGAGAACAAGAAGACCAGGTAAGACACTGAGGACAGGTAGTCCAGGTGAGACACTGGTGTGTAACCCCTCCCTCTCTGTGTATCACCTGTGCAGGTGGGGGACCTGTTGTTCGCTCAGTTCATCATAGCCAATAAGGACATGGAGCCGGAGCTGGTGTGTATAGACAGCTCAGGACGAGCCAACGGGATGGGAGTGTTTGGAGCAGGAGGTCTGCTCTTTACAGTCTCTCTGGGACTCGTCAGAAGGTAAACAACCTCAGATGTTTGTGTATATGCTGTATATATACACACCTGAGACTCACCTGGTTGACCCCCTCCCTCCTCTGTCAGGCTGCTGGCCCCCCACAGTGAGATCCTGTCGGACCTGCAGCAGCTGTTCCCCTGTGAGCTGGTGGTCGGGATGAACGGTCGTCTGTGGGTGAAGTCCTCCAGCATTCAGCAGACGCTCATCATCTCCAACCTGCTGCAGAGCTGCGACACAATGACGGCCCAGCAGAGACAGCAGCTGTTCAGGAGGGTGGCACAGGGGGCGCTGTAGACCACATCAGACCACATCAGACCACATACCACTCCTGCAGCTCACCTGGTGCTGCAGGATGAAGCAGGTGAGCAGTGTTCAGGGGGATCAGATGTGTCTCTTACCGGAGGAAGTCCTGCAGCTGCTGGTTAAACAAACTGTTTGTTCTCCAGCTTAAAGGAACATTCCACTGAATTTTAAATCAGCTGAAACATACAGGAAAATGTTGTGTTTTTAGAAACCAGCTGCAGTTTGACGCAGGCTCATGGACTGTACAGAGTTATTATTTTTGCAGCCAAATGTACTTTTACATGGTTTATATTTGTACTAAAAGTTCAGACTGATTTATTTGTATTTTTATGAAAATCAAAAATGCAAACAAACTATAAACTACAAAACAAACTGTTAATCGTGTCAGTCGTGTTTCTGAATTCTTTCCTCTGCAGTTAAATGATGAACCATCTGGACTGGAACACAGAGAGTGAAAATATCTCACTTGTGGTAAAATGTGTGTAAAACTCGTTCCCAGCATAGTGATTAATTCCTGTTCTTATTATGAAGTCAACATCTATTCATCCAGTGCCTTAGTACTAAGTGACGGGTAAACTCAACATACATGAAGGTGTTAGGGGTGGGGGAAAAAATCGATACAGCAGAATATCGCGAGATGTTTGTGTGGTAATATCGTATCATCACACAGTGCTATGTATTGATTTTTTTATTATATAAATTCTAAATATGACCAATACAAATTAAACTTTAGGTAGCCTACTAGAGTAATCTAATCATCTGCTTTTTCAGTCCATTAGATTCATGTTGCTGCTACAAAAAATGTGTGAAGTGAGATGAACAGACTGAAAACTTTATCTTAGATAGAGCACATGTTGACAAAGTTTTTCTTTTGGGACATAATTTATAGTTAAAATAAGATAATAAATCACAATATATTTCATTGCAACCTGTTTAAAATAGCAATAGTATCGCATAGTGACAAAAGTATTGTGATATCGTATCGTGGATCCTCTGGTGATTCCCACCCCTGAAAGGTATTTTGTAATTCAACAGCTTTTTAAATAAAAAATATTATTTCTTTCCGATTTTAATCAATTTAGTTGACGTCTTTGATTAAGGATTCACATGTTGAAGGATTCATTTAATAAACTGCTGTGGAGACGAAACAATAAGCTGATCATCAACTCATTTGTCTCAGCTTCACAAATGTGTTTGCAAATGTTTTTATTATTTTGTAACAGCACACTGAACATCTGTGTCTTCAGCTGTTATTTGGGCAAAACAAGTATTTTGGATCTGTCAACCTGAGCTTCTGGAAGTAAAGTAAAGTAAAGTAAAGTAAAGTAAAGTAAAGGTAAAGTTCCACTGATTGTCACACACCTGAATGTGTGAAATTTGTTCTCTGCATTTGACCCATCCCAAGGGAGCGGTGAGCAGCAGCGGTGCCGCGCTCGAGAATCATGTGGTGATCTAACCCCCCAATTCCAACCCCTGATGCTGAGTGCCAAGCAGGGTGGCAATGGGTCCCATTTTTATAGTCTTTGGTATGACCCAGTCGGGGATCGAACCCACGACCTCCCAGTCTCATGGCGGACACTCTACCACAAGGCCACTGAGCTGGTCTTTTTTTTTAATAACTTATTTTCAGACATTTCGTCAACCACATTTAATTAAAAAATAATCTACAGGAGAGTCCAGTGGCTTAGTGGGTACAGTAGGCGTGCCATATATGGGAACATGTTTGTCGCAGGGGGCTGCAGGTTCAAATCCAATATGTGGCCCTTTGCTGCGTGTCCTTTCATGCTGAGGCTATTCTATCTAATAAAGTTTAAAATATCTTAATAAAATAATAAGCTGCAGATTATTTGATAATAAAAATAATAATGAGTTGATACTAAATACAAACTGAATGTTGCATGAAGCTGCTGTGAAAATGAGTGCAGTCAAAACACTGAAGGACTTTTTCTCCATAAACATTTATTTTCAAATAGATTAAGAAAAAATAGATAATTTTTTTTACAACTTTTTATCTTTATATGACTTTTTATACAGTACTTTATGTGCATTTAGAAAAAACCACAAACGAACATCAGTTAATGAGGCAGCAGAGTGCCGGCGGCTCTGAGGGTCAAACAGGGGTCGAACAACACAAAGGATGCTGGGAGGAAAGACAAAGAGAAAGCAGAGAGAAGGAACTCAAAACAACCAGCTGAAAGCGGATCTAAACTCTAAATAAAATCTCAACACAGTTTGTTTTTAAGGTTTTTAGAAAATAAAAGTGCAAATGAAAGCTCGGAGTCATCGGAGCTGATTGTAACAGAAACCAGTTTGTTCTTAAAGTGAAAACAAACACTCCTCTCAGCTGATTTACATTCAGAGAGTTACCACAGACAGACAGACAGACAGGCAGGTGGAGGTACAGACACTCAGTCAGACAGACAGACAGGTGGAGGACTGCAGTAACTAACGGTAACGGTACTCTGAACTTGAACACATGCGAGGCGAGCGCAGAACTTTGGCAACACGTCAGGCTGAAGGTCGAGTGGCAGCTGGAAAATACGGCAGACATCTTGTTGGTGATGTCACAGTGCTGACTACAGCGGGGGAGGGGGCAGAGCCCGGAGGGGTCACATGACGTGTTTCTGGATGCCCGGGGTGAACTCCTTGGCGTTTGGGTTCAGACTGCTCGTCATCTGGAGGAGAGGAGAAGAAGAATGAAGACGAGTGAGACATCAACAACAACAGGTGTGTGCGTTTATCACGTTCTCTCAGTTCAGTGTGTGATATCAATCTTACAGCTGCATGTCATTTTATTCATAAAGGAACCATGCACCATATTTGTGAGGGGAAACTCCTGTTTTAATTCTATTTCTGCTGCAATAAAATGAACACATGCATGTCTGTATATCCCACGTGACATTAATAACAATGTTTGTTGTGAAACTGAATCGAAGACAGCTCATTAAAACAGCGTTCAGCCTTGAGGTGAGGTGGAGGCGTCGCTCTTCCTGCGTGATAATAATGTATCTTCCCAGAGTTTAATTCCTAGCTGCAGCTGCTGGGGAACGATAAGAAAAGAGACTCCAGATAAGAAAATGTCACGACCAAAGAAAGGTCAAAATGACCTCTTGGTGTCTCCTGTTGTCAGCTACAGTTAGTGTGTGTGATTTCAAACTGCTCTGAGAGTTGAGAAGAGAGACGGCCTCTTGTCAGACACATCTGCATCAAACTGAGGCGGCTCATAGACATACGGCGGGTTTGAATGTTTGTTTTTGTTACCGACTGTTATCTGCAGAAGATGTGAACTGATTGTAAAGTTTCCACAGCGTCACCATTTGATGTTTAGTACCACAGTTAGTTTAAAGGGACGGTTCATTCCATAATCAAAAATACATATTTTTCCTCTAACCTGTAGTGCTTTATTTATCAAGCTAGTTAAAACTCAATTTAGTTCATGGACCACACAGAGCCAGACTAGTAAAACCACTGCATAATAACCTATAAATAACATCTTTAAAGTATATCCTGAAAACGTTCGTCCATTTACAAAGCAATGATGAACAGCCTGTGATATCCTGGGAAAAATATGTGCAAATTCAACAACAGGTCTCAGTTTTCCACATTCAGTCAGTCCACTACTCACTGTCATTACATGTCCATTTTTAAAATAATTTTCCACTCCCACTAAAGTGGAAGCTATAAAAGAAGCAGGTTAAGCCATCCCCTGCTTCACAAACCATTTACAAATCTGCTTTGTAAACTGTTTGTGAGTGCCTCAGCAGCAGGGCTCCATCCATACTGCTTTAAGCTATGAGTCTGATACAGATTCTTTTGTACTGAAGCTGCTAGTTGACAATTTTGCCCCTGAAACCTGACACCTGTCAGCCTTCACATGTGCATCAATATTAGGTGTGCAAAGTCACCTAGAGGGCCAGATTGGACCCTTTGGCGGTCTGGTTCTGGCCTCCAAGCCGTATGTTTGACACCCCTGATTGTTTTGGTGTGAGTTGCAGAGTGTTGGAGATATCAGCCGTAGAGATGTCTGTCTTCTCTCCAATATAACAGAACTAGATGGCACTCACTCAGCTTGTGGGGCTCAAAGCTCTAAACAACTACATCTGAAAAACTCAACATCTATGTCTCTTTACTGAAATCGTGACCTGGTTACTGAAGATAATCCACAGACCTTGTTGTGAGCAGTTTCATGTAGGAACTATTTCTTTTTATCTAACTACACCAGCCAACTGTATCACCACGTAGAAGGAGGCGTGCATCTACTCATGGACCAGAGGCTCGTGCTTATGACAGTGCAAGATGTAAATATTAATGGCGTCCTCCTCAGGTGAGCTGTATTTTTAGTTGCATACTGCCAGCTCACCTGAGTTAGCGATCAGAACATTACTGTTGCTCACCACAGGCTGAGTGCCGTCTACATTAGTTCCATTTTACCGGAGAGAAGGCAGACATCTCTACGGCTGATACCTCCAACATTCAAAACAATGCAGCACTATGGGTGAAAGCAAAACTGTATTGTCATTTCACCTGCATGTTGTCAAACAGTGAATCAGAGGGAAACTGCTGAAAAGAAAACATCTTGGTCTCTTTGTTTGTGTCAGGCTGTGTGATCGATGTGTTGACTAATAACACTGTGATAGAGGGAGGAAAAAAAACATTGAAGCAAAGACAGTCATCACCAGCCGTGACACACACAGCCAAACAAAATGAAGTGTTGTTCCAAAGTGGTGAGGAAACGTGATGAGATGTGGTCCAGGTGATTCAGTACAACAATGACTCTGTCAGTTGACAAACAGCAGCAGATGTTGTGACATGTTTATCAGTCTCTTGTTGAGGTTCCTGTTGGTACATGTGATGTTTTGTTTATGTGCCGTGCGGAGCTGTTAACCCTGTCCAACCAGCACAGACCTGTTACTGTTTGTGCACTTTATTCGTTCCTGCTGTATTCTGATTGGTTGGTTTGTACTGGTGTATTGATACTGCAGAAAGAGAGTACTGAAACAGTTTCAATATCCAGTATGTATCAATAAATCGGTATTTTTGACAAAAGTAAAGGCTTGCTACAAAATGGGTTGTGCTGCAACTAACAGTTTTCATTGTCGTCTACTTTACAGATTAATGTCTCAGGAAACACTTGGGTAGTTGGGAAACGACAGCAGCTGATTGGCTGAAGCCGACTCTATGAACTCACCACGACATCGAAGTCTGCGTCTGCGTGGACGTCTCCGTCCAGAACCAGCAGGCTGATCTGCTCCTGCAGCTGACTGACCGACTGAGGGGGGAGGTCTCTGGACGGAATGAACCACTCCCACTGCTCCTCCTCCTCCAGCATCTCCTGGAAACAACGCTCGATGAACTCCTCCTCCCACAGCTCCTCCTCCACCTGCACACAAACACACACACAGAGTGAGTTTTAAAGGACCACGTCGCTGTTTTTACATGTTCGACACAGTCAGCACGTAAACACACACACACACACACACACACACAAAAAACAGTCGGCATAAATTTAAATCCAGTTACACACACAGATGTCGTTAACCAGACTTCTCCTCTGACACCCATCTCATTTATTTCTCTGAAAATAAAATGACTGAAACAATTAATCTATTGACAGAATCTACTCGTTGATTGACTGAAAATTAAACCGCGACTATTCTGATTATTCAGACTTTTATTTTTTTGTCTGTTTCATATCAAAGTAAACTGAGTCCTATTTGACCTGTTGGTCAGACCAAACAAAACATTTGAAGACTTTGGACTCTGAGAAACAGATTTTTACTGGACTAAGTGAAATGAAAAATAATTTTTTGTTGCAGCCACAGTTCTGACAATTCACTACAGATTTAGTAGAGTTACATGTTATGTTTTGCTCTCCATCGAATTTTCTACAACAGGAAAATCTACTTGTACAAACTAAATGCCTGCTTTAAGTTGTTATTTTATTGTTTGTTTATTTTCATTATTATATTAATCCGATTATTTTCTTAATTCATTGATTAAGATATTAAATATATAAAAAATAGAGTTGTTCTCATACTGTTTTTCCTTCCAGATTCCGATACCTGAATTTTTATTTATTTTATTTAACCCATAAATAACCAGGTAAGTCCCGTTGAGATCAACAGTCTCTTTTACAGGGGAGACCTGACCAAGACAGCAGCAAACTAAAAGTTACAGCCAAACAACCACACCATAAAAACATAAGAGACACGCAGTAACATGTAGAAATATTAGAACGCCTACGCACAATGACAAGAACCAAACAATTCATTCATCCTTGTACTTATAAGAGCTTTAAAAGGCAGAGACCAGTTCACAGTTTCAACTCTTTTTGAAGGTTATTCCAACTGAGAGGAGCAGAGCTTTCTCTCAGCTCCATCTGTGCACCAGGAACAGACAGCAAAACTAAGTCTTGAGGTCTCAGACTGTGGCTGCAATCAGGTCTCTGTTCAATCAAAGCACTTATGTACAAAAGGGAGTTTACCCAGTGTGGCTTTATAAATGAACAAATAGTGATTGAGCCTAGGAAAGGTCAAAGGTGGCCGATGAGCCCTGGAACAAAGCGTACAGTGATGAGTGAGGGCTTCACAGTTTGTAGCAAATCTGTAAACTTGCAATACAGCTGATACCAAGTACTGATCTGACACTTTTTGAGGCCAAATAAATAATAAACAATTCTACACTACTGACCCTGTATAGATGTGAAATGATTCCCATCACTGTTGTACAGCACAGCTCAGGATAACCCTAAAGTGGTGGGACTCTCTGGTGTAAAATGTTGTCAAACTTCTGACAACTATTTTATCCACGTGTAAAACTACTTAAGAGTTTATTTTTAAAACAATGACATGATATTGGACAAAAGCATAGAATCTCATACACGCTGTATCGGAGCCACTTCTAATTGTGGTATCGCAACAACTCTAAAAAACAAAAATAAAAAGTGCTTATCACAAAATCCCAGCGCCCAAAGAGATGTCATCAAGTCCTAAGCTCAAATGTTTTCAGTTCACAGTGATTAGAGATAAGAGAGGCTGCACATTTCTCAAATTTGAGACACTGGAAACATCTAATATTTGTAAGTTTTGTTTGAACAACTTGGACTATTTAAAAACTATTAGAATAGTTGCTAATTCATTTTAATCGACTCACTGTTACACCCCTAAAATCAGTGATGCAGTCACATTTTTCTCCTGTAGTGAAACAAAGAGTCGTGGCTGCCTGGAATCTAAAAATAAAAATGTACAACACTACAAAACTGTTAATTAGAGGTGATGATATAACGATATTAATGACGACAATGATGACATCGTCCTGAAGCTGCTCAACAGATGGCGCTCCCGCTGGTTTTGCTGGATTACAGAGACGTCCTCTGACTCACAGCTGGAAGCCCGGCGTTCAAAACAACCTCAGGTGGAAGAAATCAAACTGTGACCGTGAGTCAGTGCAACACAGAGAAGTGTGTCGGCTCCAGATATTAAAATTCTGTGACTGTGCGTTGGATCATTTCAACACTTGGCTGGTTGAATCATCAGAACAAATTCTGAGACACTGAAGTGAAATCATCCTTCTTCACCTGGAGAAGTGGAAGAGTGTTGACGGTCTGAAAACATCACTGAGAGAAATGCTGAGGAGGTATATGCACGAAAATACACAAACCAGTTATGTGGGTCTTAATAATTAAACTTTATTATGGGATTAACTCCAAGCAGGTTTCAGTCTGTATTATGTGCACACTAGAACTGTTAGAAAATTATGCTGCCTAAGACAGCCAGTGTGCAGACTGGATAGATCGAGTATTAAATCCAGCAAGAAATTTTACTGCTACAGCCTTCAGCGCAAAAACACGGCTTCTCCATTGTGTTGAACGGTTAACACAAAATGAATCAGTCCCTTTGAACTCTACATGTCCTTGCAATTTTGTCCACTCACCACAATTTTTCCACAAAATTGACCAATCATCATGGTTTCCTGTGAGTTTTACCAATCACAGCAGTCCCCCACATAACATCACCAAACTCACTTCCTTGTTTCTACATGTCTCACATGTACCAACAAAAAATGCCGCTGATGTTCTGCACAACAGCAGGGGTAAACTCTTTTTCACCACTTGCAAAGTGGAGGTGGAACCCAAACGAAACTCACCGACTGACAACAGATGAGACACATCACCATGACAGAGGCTGATGCATCAAGATTTATTCCAAGTGCTGAAAGAATCAAGGCCCAACAAGACTTTTCCATTAGACTCAGATTGTGAAAGAGATGTCTGTGAATTAGTGGACACATTTTTTTGGGTGTCACACACCTGCAAAATGACTCATTTCACTGTAAGGACTTGATCTATTCAGTCCAATAATATTTCCAAAGTCTAAAAGAGCTGCACAATTAAATCTTTTTATTCCCATTCAAGTAAGCAGAGAGCTAAACCAGAAATCAACACAGAAGCTAGAACACTTTTCTAACATGTGCTCTGGGTGAGCAACTCCTTTGGAATGAGTATGCGCCATCTTGGGGTCCAGTGTCTAGTTATTAATAAAATCGAAGGCTTGGCTGCCGTAAGTCTCAAGTGTATTTGCTCTGTGGAGCCCACAACACGGAGATGCAACTGAGCAACTTTTAAAGGAATGACTGGAGCCCCGCCTCCGACGCTGTATCCAGTTGTCTTTATAAATCCATGGGCAAAGTCTCAAATGTGTTTTTTATGGGCCCCGTGACACATAAGATCCAGGTCATTTTTAAGGAGGAGAAATCAACCTTTTTTGGTTTCATGTTCCACTGAGCGACTGTGAATAGAAGAAGAATAAACGGGACCCCCGCCTAGTTCAGTCTCAACGTGGTGTGCTCTGTTCTGCTTCAGTTTCCGAGTTGAAACATCTGTGCATTCAATACCCATACTACCACACTATATAATCTGCCAGAAAAAGATTTTTTTATATTTAACCCATTTTTAACCAGGTAAGTCCTGCTGAGATCAACAGTCTCTTTACAGGGGAGACCTGGCCGAGACAGCAGCATACAAAAACATTACAGCCATTTAGATTTAGTATGTCCCAATACATATTATGTCAAATGCAGTATGTTATAAATACCAGCATGTTTTACTACATCCAGTCTGATTTAGCAGTATGCAAGCCAGCATGCTTTACTGGCTATTCTGGCCCACATTCCTCTGACTGAGCCGCAAACAGGGGACAGATTGACAGCTGTGTGACAGCTGCCATAAGTCACAATGACAGCTGACAGCAAATTCAAGTAACTGATGTCCAGGTTAGTAATGACACAAATACTAATTGTGTAAAGGAACAAAATACTCATACAGCATACCACAACAAATTGACATAACTGAAAATAATCATGATGGAGAGATGCATGTGTAATGTTACTGTGGTGACTATAACATGTTAGATCTAGCTTATATGCAGTTATAACTTCAAAGTTAAAACCACACACACTGCCAAGTAACAACAACAGCAGTTCACTCTGGGTTGACCTCAGTCTCTGGTGAGCTCAGTGAACAGCATTTTGTTTTGTCTCCAAGGAAACAAATATATGCGCATGAGGGTCAAAGTTCAGGGTGAAATGTTATGAGACAGCAGAATGTCCTGAATGCGTGCAAACTGCATTCAACAGCTGCAGATCCAGTATTGTGGATCCATGTTTCCTCAAGATTGTGTGCAACAAGCTTTTGGGTTTGTTTCCTCTTGTTTGGTGGGTGTGTCAGAGGTGTTACCCAATCAGTAGTGACTAAGGAACATAAACCAAATTCCAGTAGATCCTTATTATAGATACTCTTTTTGTTTTTGTGTCACACTGCTTTGGCAATGTACACATATGTCTCTCATGCCAATAGAGCCCCTTTGAGTTGAAATGAATCAGGCTACGCCCTATTAAAAAATAGCACCCTTGCATAACACAACAGGGTGGTGAACGCACCACCGTTTCCCTTTAAATAAACCGTTTGTCAGAGCTGAATTATACTTCTATTCATTTTACACGATGAGAAAATGTTTGTGTTATCTATTATGTCTTGTAACACATAAACAACACATTGCAGTTTCGGGGTGTATCTTCCCTTTAAACCTGAGCTCCAGGTGTGTTGTCTGGTCCTCACCTGCCTGTTGAACTCCTCCTCATTCTCCATCCACAGGTACTCAGCGAACGGGTCGTCCTCAGAGATGAACTGGCTGCTCAGGATGACCTCGTTGCTGATCGTCATGTTCGGGGAGACGTTGCTCAGACTCGGGTCTTTCATTTCACTGCTCACCACCGACACACACACGGTTTCGATCACTGCAGTCCGACCTTCAGCTCTACAGGGGGACACAGAGACACGACGTTAACCTCTAAACACCGAGCAGTTGGTCCGTTATGTCAACGGTCAGGGTCGCTGTGATGGCCGCTGTCTGACAGACAATAGCAGCCTGCTAGCGACTGTCGCCGTTTTTACAGTGAACGCACCAGAATAAGCGAGTTACACGAACAGAAACATGTTGACACAAACATTCAGTGGCTTCACAGTGATGTAAGAAAACAAAGTGGTGTGTTTTCATTGTCGAAATACCTGATAACAAGGTTTATTCGACGGCAGCGGAGCCAACGGTCAACTCTCTGTCGAACTCTTCTGTAACTGTAATGGCCGCGCTGCTTCTGTTTGTTTACATCGCCGACGTCACTTCGTGCTCGCTTGTGATTCGATAAACCACTGTGCTGCCTTCAAGTGCAACATGGCCTGTTAAAACCAAACGGTATGAAAAGTCGGAAAGTAGGCTTCTTTTTGTGACATTCTTTCGGTTAATGACATGATTTCATTCAAATTAATGCCATAAACAGAGCTGGAAGAGGTTCCCATAATAAACTATGTAAAAATAAAAAAGTATATCATTAAAATGTACTTAAAACATTAAAGGTATCAGTACTCAGTGGCTTATACTGTTATGTAACATATACAACACTGATATATTGACACACAAGCAGTAGATTTACTACAGTATACACTGTTCTACAGTTTTATTAAATACGTTGTTTTGTATCTAAAATCAAAATCTGCAAAAATAACTACAGCTGTAAAATAAATGTAGTGCAGGAAAAGGTTCACGTATAATTGGCATGAAACAGAAATACTCAAGTAAAGTACAAGTACCTCAATTGTATTAAGAAGATAAGGATTCATACTGTTACAGGATTTATCTATAATTTTACAAAACAGGGCTGCACAGTGAAATGTAGGTTGTGACCCCGTCATGCACACACATAGAGCATCTCAACAAATATTTAATTTAGGGTAGAGTAAAATGGTATGTACTGTTAGTTATATACAAATTCTTACATTGTATACCCTCATAAACCAAGAGAGACTTTAGCTTTGTGGGAATGAGACAAAAGATAGTGTGCTAAACCAGCATAAAAAACCTTCCATGTCATTTATTAATGATATAAAGTTAATCTATATACAGTACAGGCCAAAAGTTTGGACACACCTTCTCATTCAATGCGTTTTCTTTATTTTCATGACTATTTACATTGTAGATTCTCACTGAAGGCATCAAAACTATGAATGAACACATGTGGAGTTATGTACTTAACAAAAAAAGGTGAAATAACTGAAAACAGGTTTTATATTCTAGTTTCTTCAAAATAGCCACCCTTTGCTCTGATTACTGCTTTGCACACTCTTGGCATTCTCTCCATGAGCTTCAAGAGGTAGTCACCTGAAATGGTTTCCACTTCACAGGTGTGCCTTATCAGGGTTAATTAGTGGAATTTCTTGCTTTATCAATGGGGTTGGGACCATCAGTTGTGTTGTGCAGAAGTCAGGTTAATACACAGCCGACAGCCCTATTGGACAACTGTTAAAATTCATATTATGGCAAGAACCAATCAGCTAACTAAAGAAAAACGAGTGGCCATCATTACTTTAAGAAATGAAGGTCAGTCAGTCCGGAAAATTGCAAAAACTTTAAATGTGTCCCCAAGTGGAGTCGCAAAAACCATCAAGCGCTACAACGAAACTGGCACACATGAGGACCGACCCAGGAAAGGAAGACCAAGAGTCACCTCTGCTTCTGAGGATAAGTTCATCCGAGTCACCAGCCTCAGAAATCGCAAGTTAACAGCAGCTCAGATCAGAGACCAGATGAATGCCACACAGAGTTCTAGCAGCAGACCCATCTCTAGAACAACTGTTAAGAGGAGACTGCGCCAATCAGGCCTTCATGGTCAAATAGCTGCTAGGAAACCACTGCTAAGGAGAGGCAACAAGCAGAAGAGATTTGTTTGGGCCAAGAAACACAAGGAATGGACATTAGACCAGTGGAAATCTGTGCTTTGGTCTGATGAGTCCAAATTTGAGATCTTTGGTTCCAACCGCCGTGTCTTTGTGAGACGCAGAAAAGGTGAACGGATGGATTCCACATGCCTGGTTCCCACTGTGAAGCATGGAGGAGGAGGTGTGATGGTGTGGGGGTGTTTTGCTGGTGACACTGTTGGGGATTTATTCAAAATTGAAGGCACACTGAACCAGCATGGCTACCACAGCATCCTGCAGCGACATGCCATCCCATCCGGTTTGCGTTTAGTTGGACGATCATTTATTTTTCAACAGGACAATGACCCCAAACACACCTCCAGGCTGTGTAAGGGCTATTTGACCAAGAAGGAGAGTGATGGAGTGCTGCGGCAGATGACCTGGCCTCCACAGTCACCGGACCTGAACCCAATCGAGATGGTTTGGGGTGAGCTGGACCGCAGAGTGAAGGCAAAGGGGCCAACAAGTGCTAAACACCTCTGGGAACTCCTTCAAGACTGTTGGAAAACCATTTCAGGTGACTACCTCTTGAAGCTCATGGAGAGAATGCCAAGAGTGTGCAAAGCAGTAATCAGAGCAAAGGGTGGCTATTTTGAAGAAACTAGAATATAAAACCTGTTTTCAGTTATTTCACCTTTTTTTGTTAAGTACATAACTCCACATGTGTTCATTCATAGTTTTGATGCCTTCAGTGAGAATCTACAAAGTAAATAGTCATGAAAATAAAGAAAACGCATTGAATGAGAAGGTGTGTACAAACTTTTGGCCTGTACTGTACATAGATTAGAATCAGCTTTAGTGGCCTGTGGGATAAGACAGGCTATGCAAAAATGCAATGCCTCTATCTAGAGCCAGTGTTTGATTTGTTCATTCTGGGCTACTGTAGAGACACAGTGATGCAACATGGAGGACCCCATGGACATGGACCTGCCCCTGATGTAGCTGTAAGCAATTAATTCTAAGGTAATGAAAACACAACAATTCTTATTTTCAGGTTGTTCAGGTGATTATACACCAAAGAAAACATACGTATTATTATATAATATTCCACATGTGCCAATATATTCCCCTAAATCCTGCACACTGAACGTTGAAGAGCATTCAGCTCCAGGTTTTTCTGACAACACCAATTCGTAATATTTATAAATATTGTAAATGACTATCTCATAAGTTTGAAGTTTGGCACAAAAGGTTTGCCTAAGTGTTTCATAGTTTTTGCTTATCATTATTATTATTACTCATTTATTTCATTCAACTTTCAATTTAATTTTCATGGTGATAAAGGGTTGCTTTAATAATAATATTGACCGCTGAGACCTTTTGTTCAGTTTCCGAAATTCCGCAAGTACCATTGACGCATCACTGTAGTCTCGAACGCGAGCTTTTGTTGATTTTTGTTGTTTTGTTAAACATAGCACAAAATATCTATATTCAGCTGCTTCCTACCTGAACTTGGCATCGTTTATGTTTTTTTACTTGATTCACAGTTACAAGTAAAACAGACAAAAATAAAAAATAAAATAACTTACCAAAACATCGCGATACTTCAGCCTTTACATCCCGTGCTTCAGTTAGTGCTAGCAGGCTCACTTAGCTTCCAACTACGCATGAGGAAAAGCCAAGGTAAGTGTTCACATTCACTTATATGAAATGCATTATACACACTAGCAGATAGTACACGGCTTTATGTTAAATTTGCAAACCAACATAATCGAACTGAAGCTTTAAACCACGTTAGCTAACGATTAGCATTAGCATGTAGGGGAACGGAAATCCTATCAGTACTGGATGTACCCTGAAGGTAGCGTTGGTTGTGTGGCGCGGCCTCCAGTGTAACGTGTCTAATACCGTAATTATCGGTTTTATTAGTTGTTCTGTCAATGTATACTTTAATTTATAAGTGGGTCTGTATGAAACGACACCATAGAAGTCTGTTTGAGCTCTGAAACTATAAACTTGAGCAGAATATTGGCGAGCAAGTACTGTTAGCTTAGCTGCTAGCATAACACAAGTCTCTTATCTCTGCTGACCTCCATTCAAAACATGTGGTACACATTTGCACATAACTGATTCAGAAGTTAGCTTATCTGATCAGTGTCACTATGGAAATATCAGTGGTGAAATGTAACCAAGTACATTTACTCTAGTACAAATGCGTAGTACTCTACATTTATACACGTCTACTCCATTACATCTGAGAGGTAACTTGTACTTTTCTTTGTTGTGTCTGTCAGCTGTAACGTTAGTTGCTTCTCAGATTATAGTTTTCCGTTCCCTCCCTGTCCCGTGAAAACCATGTATCCTCAGATGTGTCGATTTTGAGTGTGTGTGATAAACTGGAGTGTATTGAGAAAGGTCTGGGCTGCACAGTAAATCAAAGCGCAATGTGCAATATTCAAATCTCAGGAGATGCAGTATTATGACGGGTAAAATTCGTCACAACAAACCATCATTAATTAAGATTTGTGGTGTGACAGAGATGCCCCAGCCTTCAAATCATATTCCAGACCTAAGGGAGCATGCTTGTTGAGTCCAGACCCCAGTAAATAACCACATCATCATCACTGTATATTTGTTCCAGAGAAAATGAAATGCAAAAATGATCATTCCTGCTAAAATCGCAACTCTTGTATCAACTGCAGTATCTGTCAAAATACTCTCAATATGACTGTTTTGAATAATGTGCAGCCCTGTTCTTAAGCTAAATAAACTATTTACATATCCTTTTGGATCAACTGGGAAATGCATCGTCACCAAGCTGAAAACAGGGCTGTTTTTCTGACACCATGAAAAGTTGACTTTTGAGAGATGCATAGTTATCACAGGGCAGGGACGCAACAAACATGATGATCTTGAAGGCTATCATTCATCGCTTTAGCTCAAACTATCCAACAGGATGTAAAGGAGTTACAATAAGCACAACCTTAAACACCCACGGAAGTAAAATGCAACATACACATTAATGTAGCTGTAAAATTAATCATAAAACACAGACATGGAACATTTTCCTGCACCGTAATACTTTTGCTTTTCATACATTAAGTACATTTTGCGAGTATATACTTTAATTACATTTTGAATGCAGGACTGTAGTGGAGTATTCTCACAATGCGGTATTTGTACTTTTACTGAAGTAAAGGATCTGAATACTTCTCCCATTACTGGAAAATACTCATTGTAGCTGGTTCACCATCATTTCTTATGAAGACTTGAAGGTTTAATACAAGGTAATGTTAAAATTGTTTTGGTCCTGTTCTCTTCTTTCACTGTAATTGGACATATTTATTCTTTTACTCTTATAAGAGACCTTACCAAAACTGATTCATTTAGAGGCTTATTTTATTAATCGCATCTCT